TAAATTTAAAAAAAAAATTCTTACAATCCAAAAGCCTTCGTAAAATCCTCAACGCTCCTTACTTTGTCACAAATAAAATAATACATAAAGACTTTAATGTTCCATATGTTTCCGATTTGGCCCAATCCAGATGCCTATCCTTCCATAACAAACTGCATCCGAACACATTTGTTTCAAATCTTGCTTCCTCCTCGACCCCTGATAATCCTCCGAGGCGTCTGAAAATAAGATGGCCACGGGACCTTCTAATATAGAACTTTAATTTGAGTTCTACCAATGGGTAGTTTCTCTTCATGTTGTACATGTCATGTTACCAATGTCACATTTACTTGTTGTATTTTTCATGTAATACAGTTGTAAATTTCATTAAAATAAAAAAAAAATTACAAATATACGGTACATATAGTTAAGGAAAATCACACGCCTAAGCGAAAGCTATGGATGAGATTCGGTAAAATCTATACTGGACCATCTATGTATCAACCCCAACCCCCACAATCACTGAAAATTACATGAAATTTGAGAGACAGAACGGACACCGAACGAATTATGATCCTTGATATCTGAAACGTGAAAAGAGGAGGGGAGTTTTCGATTCTGAGCAACAATTTTTTTTAACCTCCCACACAAAGCTTCTCTACCTTCGTTATTGAGGAAACAAAAAGGAAGTCTAAGAATAAGTGACGCACTTATCTTAAATAATACAAATCTTAAATTTCCTATATTTTTTGCTGGCAATTAGGCAATTGTTTTTATTTGTATATCTTGATGTCTACTATAAATTTTTTAAATATTTCCCTCTACTTACATGACACCATGTAAATAGTCTATCGATATTTTTCAAATATTGATTCGACGTATCGGACCACAAAATTGTTATCTCTAAACAGAGTAGAAAAGTAAACATTAATAAATAGTTATCAAATATACAGAAATATTAACTTGGGTTCCTTAACCTCGATAAAAAAACCATCAAATAATAATGGATAAGACATTTTTCAAAATATGATGCAATTATCCTTACATTTAAAGGGAGCGCACACAATCGAAAATAAAGAGAGCAATTGAGTAGAAAATAGAATATTAACTTGATTCCCTAATCGCCCTCGGGGAAGTGGATGAAAGTTTAAATGAGTTTCCGGTGACTGATACCTCTGCAAAGAGGTCTTGTTTACAGGGAGGAAGGGGGGGAGTATAAGAGTTTAATCTGTAAAAGCATGGTTCCGAGGCCATCATGACTTGGGAACTTGAAGATAAAGCGGGTTTTTTCCAGCCGTTCTAAAGGAAACCTGAATGCAAAATAAGCGATGGAGTAGGGGCTGAAGCGGTTCGTCGGCAAGTTTATGGCCCAGCGACCTTATAGCTTAACCAAGCACACAGGATACGGCGATGAATTTTTTATATAGTCATTCAGTCTGTAAAAAAAAAAAAAAAAAAGAAACCCTTTAGGGTAAGAAAAGAATGCAATTTATTACATAATGGTTTATTATTTCTTCATAGATGTATATCAAATACGTTAGGCACATTCAATCATACTAATTCTTTTAACGCTTCGTAACGAACAGTAGAAGTATATTCCTATACAAAAAAAAATCATTTAACAATTTCGGCCGATTAAGATTTTTTAAAGTGAAAACTTCTTCAGGTGCGTTTTGTTTTTCTTTTGAGAAGACTGAATTAGAGTCATCAGATCTCCGATGTGAAACGGTAGGATTAGTGTTGCCCAAAATCGGCCTTGGTCTTGCATTTTGCAAGATCAATACCAAGGCGGCCTAACTGTTGCAAGACCAAGACCAGGACTGGTAAAAAAAAAAATCGATTTTTTAATATTCACAAAGTAATAATATATGCAATTACAATTGTTTATAAATTTTTTTTCTCTCTTTTTGTCGCCTCTACCCTTAAGGGTCATTGGCGTTTTACTATGATTTATATTCTTCTGTAATATTCTATTAACTTCAAAACTTCCAAAATTCAAACAAAGTTTTGCCTGTTTCTTCAGTATCTTGAAGGATTTCTTTTAATGTTCTGGCTAAGCCTGTTTTTTGTCTATAACTTTCAAATTTAGGACATTCTTCCAGTAAGTGTTTGTGGAACGTTATTACAGTTTTCACATGTGGGCGCTTCGAGACCTCTCAGAAGGTAGCCATGTGTAAACTGGCAGTGTCCTATCCTTAATCGGCAAAGCATAACTTCTTCTCTCCTTGAACTTATGTAGCTTGTGATCCATTTGTCGCAATTACGTTTTACTTCTCTCAGTTTGCATTCTTTCATTTCATATTCCTTCTAGTCTTCTAAGGTAACTTTCTTTAGTCTTATCTCTGTCGTTTCTACTTCACTCCTTGCTAAATGGGCTGCTTTGTCAGCTTTTTCATTTCCCGCAATGCCCCAGTGGGCTGGTACCCAAACGAACACTATTGACACGCCTTTGTTTTTGACTTCCCACCATACATTTAATATTTCTTTAATAATAGAATTAGTTGGCGATGGGTTATCGATAGCGACTAAGACACTCCATGAGTCAGTTACAACGACCCAGCACTTTTCCACAGAATCTCTTGAGAAATAAAGACCGTTCATGAGGGCAGTCGTCTCTCCTGTAAAAATGGAGCATTCACCTGTATAAACACAGCTAATATAAATATTTATATATTCTCATACAAATTATTATGAGACATTTATGCAGTATTGGTACTTTTTTTTTTTAAGTATAACATCTGTAATGGGGATTAGTAATTTTTAGAACACTGCCAAGTCCTCGAAAAGAAAATCCAATATAAAAATAATTGCTTATTTGTATTTCTAATTAAAAAAAAAGTAATATCTATACTCAATTCGAAAAATTCGTTTTATGAATTCTTTATGGTGTTTAAATTGTTTTTACATTTCACAGATGCAAAATCCAAGTTAACTAACTTTGAACAAGTAGAAAAAAAAAATGTTTTCAGTACTATTATAGTTTCTAGGGTTGCCCAAAATCGGTATTGCACTTTGCAATGACCAAGACCAAAATTCCTAGTAAAAATCGATTTTTTTAAAATAAAAACTGAGGCAAAATGGTTACTAATAATTGACAATCTTAGTTACTATATGGTAATAATTGGTATTAATATACCTTTGCATTTAACTCCTCTAATTTTTCATTCGGGGTCTATTAGGTTTCTCCTATTTAAAAAATTACAGTAATATATTTATAGTAATAAGCTAATGCGTAACTGCAAGACTGTTGCAAGACTCTGTCGCACGACGAAGAATGAGTTTGCCAGACCAATAGTCGTATCGGTCTCGTATTTGGGCAACAGTAGCTAGGGTATAGTCGGTTTGATTCGACTAATTTTAGTATTTTTACTAATTGAATAAAATATTTCAAAACTAAAAATTGGACCTGCATACTGTAAGCGAGGGAATTTTTCATAACGTCATCCTCTTCGTAATGAAATATTATTCAAAATTGTACATTAATGCGAAGTCGTATGATTGAAAATGAAAAAAAAAAAAAAGATTGTAGAAAACCAATGAGTTTTATTGAACATACGGATTAAAATATCACAGAAATTAAAAATCGGACCTTCATTCTTTAAGCGAGGGAAATATTGAGCATTTCGTCGTCTTCATAATAAGCTATTTATAATTTATAAAAACCTGTACCACTACAACCCATGAAGGATCTGGGGTTCAGTACTATTTTAGGGAAAGCACTGTTTCTAGGTCAACGGTTGTGCAAGGAGATGATTTGACCGAGATCACGCTCAACCGCCAGGTTTTCCCCCTTAATCAATTATTTAATTAAGGGTGCCCACTTTATAGAGGCTGGGTGTGCCTCAGGAGGGACTTCTGACCCAAGGTCGCCCCACGGCCAATGAAACAGATAAATAAATTTTCTGCCACGAGCCGGGGTTCGAACTCGGGACCTTTGCATTGGAAGCTCAGTGCCCTACCACTGAGCTACCCCGCTCCCTATTTATAATTTATATTTCATAATATTAATCTCGCATTATTGATGTTTTCACTTCTATAGTGTGGTCTGAAGCACAAATAAATATGCAGACAAATAAATTATTCGAGGTCGACAAATAAATTGACCGATGTTTTTAAGGCATTCTAACTTTATCGACCTCGAAGTCTTTCGTTCGAATCCGGTTCATGCGGGTTTGAATTTTTTTGGGGGGAATCCATGAAATGAATCTGGGACTTTCCATTCGGTTAGAATAATTTGTTTTTTTCCTGTAAAATGGCCCTCTCCTCTTCCGCGTACCATTAATGACAAGGTAGAGGGTAAGGTAACAATTAAAGCTCAAAATAACTAATTGGAAAGTTTTAGTGATGTTTTCGAATAATCATAAACGAAACAAAATATATCGGTGAAACACGAGTTGGCGACAACTTGGTAAACTGATTGCTGAGTTCGAGTCCAGGTGCTGAGGGCCCATTTTAGGTTACGAAGGCGTAATTACTTAGACGAATGTAGAGGAATTGGCTGGAGTGAGTAGTCACATGTAAAAAAGTAAAAATAAATAAATAATATTTATTTTTATTTTTGCCGACGTTTCTTGTTGGCCTTGCGGAAGAGCGTTTATTAACAACGCAGCTCCGATGAACATAATTTATTCATTGTATGACTGCTCACCCCAACCAATTCCTCTTCATTTTATTTAGTTAAAAATAAAAATACTATAATAATTTATTTTTAAAAAAATGCAACTTCTATTATCAATGTTTAGCCTTACTGTGGCCCCTAATGATTGAAAGATTCCCAGCACATGAGCTAGACATACAAACAAAAACGCACAGAAAATTTTGTGAGATTTGGTTATTTTTCACAATCGCAATGCTTTCTCTCAGGATGAATTTCATAAATAAGTAAGCGAAAGTGATAATATATATTTTTATAATTTGAGCTTAATAATGATTTTTAAAGTACAGTAATAGAATGAAAAGCAATTCTATTAGAAGAATAATGCAAATGAAAATGTTTTGCTACCTTATACAAAAACATGTGATATAATTAAGATTAATTCAGTTTAGTTAATTTATGTAGATTTAGATTAATCAAACTATCAGTGAATGAATAATGTCAAAAACAAACGAAGATGGATCCAATCGTATCGTATACGATCTTTCCGAAGATCCAGGAGATGCTTATTTTTGCACTCCTTGTAAAATGGAGTTTAGAAGAGAAGAAGACCTACTCGTGCATCTCAAACTAAGAGATCATAAAAGAAAGAAGAAATATGATGAAAAAATATACAACCGACGAGTCTTCGGCGAAAGCAACGAACAAGGTCCGCTCTTGATGTCGGAACCGGAAACCTCAGAAGAAGAAGACGAGACGACGAAATATGAAAGAGAAGCAAGATTAAGGAATAATCTTTGCGTGCACAAGGGCTACGGTTTCTCTTGTGGCGAGTGCGTCGAAAAGAGGATCGACATGGAAGAAAATGGAAATTTCGATTTCGTCAAAATCGGAAAACATCTGGAGACAGTTTATAAAAGAATGGTAGATGAATACGGAGACGACCTTTCGCTTCCGTCTTCTTGTTCCGACGATTTGGAAGAAAATATTTTCGAAAAGTCGGATGCTCTAGTGGAATCATTATCGAAGTACGATGGCGTTGGCATGGATAAGAAGGACGAAGAAGCAGAAGATGAGAAGAAGAAGAAAAAAAAGACAGAGGAAGCGAAGAATGTCGATAGCATGGAAGAAGTGAGAAGCAGATTCGAAGAAGTTCTTCTAGATCCGGACAGTGGTTACGATAACCAGCTTCCCAGAGTAGTGAGCTTTGATGGTGAGGAATTTAAAAACTCAGATTCTGAAAACGAGGATGAAGAATTGAATAACCTAGATTTCGAAAAAGAAGAAAAAGAATTTGATGATATCTTCAATAACCCCTTTAAAAATTCAGAGGGCGAGGTGCCGTCAAAATATGAAATGATGCGTGGTAAAATCAGATTTTCCAATCTAATTAAAAAAATTCCACTTTAACTTCGAAAAATATTATTATTTTCACTTATCATTAGTTCTTTTGTGTCAGTTCATAAGAACATTGAAGAAATAAAGTAAATTTAGAGAACTCTCATAGCGGAACTTAAAGGTGAGGTACAGGTTAAAAAGGCTTTTCATGAATTATTTTTTTTTAAGAATACTTAAGAAATGCAAGTGGTTGGTCCATTTCTTGAAAAAATAATTACATCATCGTGTTCAAGGACCTTTTTTTACATGGAAATCGATTCTTTAGTTTCGAATTCCATAAAAATCTATTGGGCATCACTTTTGAAATAAATGATTCATTCTTAAAATAACATCGATGTTCTGTCCCTGGAGACTTTTTTCACATTTTACAATCAATTGTTGAGGTTATGCTTAAATGGTATTCTTATTTTAAATTACCCCTCGCTGCGATTTCGTACTAACAGTACCAATAATTTCAGATTAAGGAAATTATTTAGATGAGGATCACACGGGATTCGCCTAGTTCACAATCACTTCGGTCACACTTGTTCATGAAACAGTCTTTCGGATAAATCCCGATGCATTCGGCACTCTATGAACAAGGGTGACCGAGTGATTGTGAAGCACTTGTGATTGCGTAACCTGCGCGGTTCTAATCTAAATAAATAATATTAATAATAATAAAAGGCATAGCGAACCCGAAGGTTCGATGCTTATACCACCACATCTAAATAAATACTCAGATTAATAATTATAATAGATAAACTTATGGTAGCCAATAAACTTATGTTATAAATTATATAATAGTTAAAGAGGCGTCAAAGCAAGTATAGCTTACACTGCCGCATGGAGTCTTAAGTACAAATCAGATGTGGTATATTAAAATAAAGAAATTTATTAATTTTCTGACACATTATGGCATTTGTTATGTATTAATGTCAAACTCTTTTGAGCAAACGAAGTAAAAAGTAGTCAATATAAAGAGCAGTTAATTTTAAGTTATAAATGAGTATGCTTTACTTCCTGAAATGGTTTAAAAATACCGTATCATATTTAGGTCTTCAGTCCGTCCAATCTTGGCCGGAGTTCTCCAAGGTTCAATACTAGCCTCTCTACTTTACGTTATATACACTTACGATATACCTATTGACGATGAGATCTTGACAGCTACATATGCAGACGATACAACAATCCTCACAAAACATCAAGACCCTACACAGGCCTCACTAACTCTACAACATCATTTGCTTAAACAACAAGATTGGTTCACACTATGGAAAATTCGACTTAATCATGACAAATCCAAACATATAACATTTACACTTCGAGAAAACATCTGTCCTCCAGTTTATATTGACAACAATCAAATTCCTCAAACGGACACGGTACTTTACCTTGGACTCACCTTCGACAGAAGGATGACATGGGGCCCACATGTTAAAATGAAACGCATGACACTTAACAAACGACTCAAACTACTTTACTCTCTTTTTGCCAAATCTTCAAAACTAAAACTAAAACAGAGACTGAATACATATACATACTTACTTAAGCCCATATGGACATACTCATCACAAATATACGGCATCGCTAAAAAGACCCACCTACAAAAACTTCAAATGTTCCAATCAAAATTATTGCGACTCATAACAAAAGCACCTTGGTACGTGACTAACAAAACTCTACATACTGACCTCCACTTTCCAACAGTTGACCAACATATAACGACCCTATATCAACGATTTTACACAAATTTAAATGGACATAATAACAAACGTATAAGAGACATGGCCACAGCTGACATACCTCAGAACATGAGCAGGAGACTAAAAAGGCGTTGGATGAGGGATCTCCTTCCTTAGACAACCTAAGTAATTGGAACAAGTTAGGGAAGAGGTACTGCTGAGTACTTTCCTTCCCCATGCTTGCCATGTCATTACATCGTTATCGCCATCACATTTGCTGATTGTCAGCTTATTGACAGGCGCAAATACATATTTTGTAGACAAAAAAAAAAAAAAAAATATTTAGGTATAGTTAAATACCTGCTATAACGATTAAATATATTATAATATTTATTATGAAGTGCATCGGTAGCAGAACAGCGAAAATAATGAAGTTGAAATAAAATGTACTTTTGTACTTTGTCCAGTCACGTGAAGTCCAAAGTCTAAAGTAGCTAAAATATATTTTAAAAAAATGCATTTTTTTCTTAAAGCAATTCCTATTGTATTGTAATAGTTAATAAGGTAATAATTTAAATGAGGAACGCACAGGTTCATAATCACTTCGGTACAGTAGTTCATTAAACGCAGAACTGTATTTCGGGTAAACCCAGTTGCATTCGGCACTCCCAGAACAAGTGTGACCGAAGTGATTGTGAACCACACATAATCCGTACTGTCATCAAAATAATTACCGTTAATAAATATTGATGTAAAATTGTTATAGATAATTAGGTAAGAGCTAGTCAACCTAATATGCAGTTATACTAATGTTATAATTTAAGCAAGAAAAGTATTCTTAGTAATAATGAAAAAAATATAATTAATAATTTTGTTTGTAAGGAATGTAAAAGAAATAATCAAAACAAGCATTGAAAAAAAAGTTACTGAAAATGTGAAAATTTAATGACAATCAAACATTTCCTAAACTACATTTTCATTGTTAATTAAATGATTATATGGTCATCATATAAATATGATATATAAAACACACGAAAAAAATATTTTTTATATGTGCTTGTTTTAGGTGAAACTTGTTTAAATATTATAAAATATGGCTGTGTTTTATTTCTTTACCACATTTATTGTATTTACATTAATTTTATATATTTATGCAATTCTAAACTCTATGATGGTGGTATTGGTCCTATTTAATTTAATATTCTTTGAATTATAACCCTAATTAAGTTAAGTCAAATTTTAGGTTTATAATTAAAGTAGATATATAAATTGAAATAAACATTTTGAAGAAATAAAACAGCTTTATTTTATTATATTTAAAAATATTTTACTCCTATATTTATAATTTTTTAGACCGTATATTGTAAACTTTTAATTGAGGCCAAAGTGAATTGTTATGACTTTCTACTTGGAGCTCATATTTCAAATATTTTAACCTTCAATTGATTTCGAAGTTTATGGCCTTAAATTCATTTATTTATCGATGAATTTTAATAAAAAAATATTAAATACATGCTTTTGCGTACTTTAAAGAGCGCTAACCAACTTCTACAACAACAGGTAGAGACAGTGGTGCCAACGGACTGATCGAGAATTATAAAATTAAAAAGAATTAGAATGGAATTTAATAGCAAAAATGAGTATAGAACAAACATTCGTATTTTAACAGGATAATGATTCTTACCACCAAGATCTCTAGACAAGAGAACAGATGCAATATAATTCCGAATATACATTAACCTTTTCAACGGAGTCCGTATCTAAATTTCAACTCACCTTTATGAGAATATGTGAATTTGTTGCTCAGGAATCGAAACAAAAAAAAAATGTCTTAAAACGTAATTTCTGGAACGATGGAGGTTGACCCAATCATTACCCAAATGACTTGAAATGGTACACAGGATTTCATTCAAATTATTAATTTTTTAATAATAAGTAAAATAAACAAATACGTTTTTATATTATATGAATATATTTGAAAAAATTTTGCTACGTTAAATTTCTGATTTCAAACATGAATTAGTATCATTATTAGGCATTTTAAAAAAATTATAGGAGTTCTATCATCTTTGATGTCGAAGTTATAATTAGACATTTAAATTAAAACATATAGGAAAGAATTGTTGATATTATTTTTTTAACTTTTGATCAGCCATGTGGTTTTCTTTTTCTGCCACTCTAGAACTCTATCTTAATTTATAGATTTGAACATTGAATAATCAGAATTTAAAAGTGTAATATTTGATTTAAATATATATATATATATATATATATATATATATATATATATATATATATATATATATATATATATATATATATATTTTTCCTGTTAGCATTACAGACCATGTAAATCTTTTGCCGCCTTTACAAGCCATCTCTGCCTGTTTTCAGCCATTTCTTGCCATTTATCTTCACGCAGCTCTATTGCATCTTTGTTGATCCTGTCTATCCATCTGCTTTTTCCCCTTCCACGTGGTCTTATGCTTTCTATTGTGGCATTAATTGTTTCGTAGAGGATTCGAGATGGATCGCTAGGAGCTAGTTTAATCACTCTGTGATTCCTTTGCTTTTTTTTTAAATACTCAAAATATAAAATTAAATTTAATTTGAAATATTCAAAATTATAATGTTTTATTAGTATTACTTATCATGTAACCACTATTCACAGGACACACGCTTTAAAAATATAAAATTTTCAAAGAATATATTTTTTTATCGACAAGGTGAGGTTTCCGATTTCAATGAATTTTTTTTTTTGTAATACTAGGCCAACAAATATTAAATTATACTTAAGGTTTCTTTCCGATGTATCTAGTCATCGAAAAAATGTTTTTTTTTTTTTTGTATTATTGTTTTCTGATCTGACCTTAACAAGCCTTCTCCATCTCTGCCTCTCTTGGGCTATTTCTTTCCATTTTCTGCACGCAGCTCACTTACATATTTGATGATTATATTTATCCACCTGCTTTTTGGCCTTTGCATTATATTGAGGCCTTAATTGTTACGTAGAGGTTTCGAGAATGCTACGACCTACATACCCTGCCCATCTTAACCTCCATGCCTTCATATCATGGGATATTGATTGACCAGTTTCAGTAAACAGTTCTTTATTGGTATTTCTTCTCCATGTGTTAGTACTCTGATCACAGATCGCTTTATCGTGCAGAGGATTCTTCTCTCAAATCTTTCAACAGTTTTTTTTTCTAGAGTGCTGGTTAGTGTTCAGGTCTCACACCAGTATATTAGAACTGAGTTTATCATAGCATTAATTTGAGATTTTTCGGTATTTCAATACCCTTGAAAGGGAAAAGAAAGCTCTGTTTGCTCTAATTATACGCTGGTCTATTTCTGTGGGTTGGTTCATATATTGAGGTTATTGTGGAGCCGAGGTATATATATTTAGGTGATAAATATAGAAAAAATTATAAAGAATATTTTATTATTATTTCCCTCTCATCTATATATTGTCAGATAAATATTTTTTATATAAATTGATCTTAGTAGTGTTATACGATGAAATACTAATACACATGTAAACATATATGTATTAAATAATATATCAAATACATGTGAGGAAAAATCTTTTATGATATAGGAGAGGGGCTTTTAGGCAGGGGTTTTGTTTGCTAAGCCGATTTCCCCCCGACTCGAGGCCACGCAGCAATGAAACAAAGAAACACTCTTGATTTATAGACCCTTTTATAATC